CGATTCCATAGTTTCGGCTGCTCCCTGCAAGCTCAAAGCTGTCTGAGGCATTGCGGCTTTGGCTTCTGTGGAGTCCTCATGATGTGGAGTTCTAGAGGTTGAATTGAATGGGGCTGTTTGAGTACTTTGCGCTCGGCCGCCACAAGGAATCGGGAACGACAGGACAACCCACGAACTGCTGCTGACCATCTTTTGGTTGCAAAGGGGCCACTTTGCCAGTCGCCAGACCCATTCCTCCAGCACGGTACTCTCAGCCCTGCAACTCCCAAATCCTTCAGTCTGCAGAGGCCTCCATCCCATGCCAGCTTGCCCGGCACCCAGAAGTCCCTCAGCAGGGCTCGGGATTCTCACCGACGCATCTGCAAACGAACGAACATGCAACATGATACCAACCGGCAACGAATACCAGCAGTGGCGGTAATGGCGAGTGACGGCCTTGGCGGTGGCTAGGGGAAGCAATGACGTCCGATGGGGACAGCACGTCGGCCCGAACAAGAAAGAGTAAACCAAGGAACAAAACGAAAAAATGCCAATGGCAAGTGCAACAGTATCGCAAAAACGACACAGTGCTAGAGTAGGCCGGGCCCAAGACGGAGCCGAATTGGCCGCCTGGACGGTGCAGGCTTCAAGGGGTTGCGGTGGGTGTTAATTGTAAGCTCGTCGTAACAAGGTGAGAAACTATGCATGGCCAAAACTGTGACGGCGTGCTTGCTGCTGCTTGCAGGTCCATTCGCATTATGTTATACTTGCTGTTGCGATTGTGTCATACTGGTGTCGGGTCTTTCTGCATGCTCCACATGCGCAAGACGGTCAAGACCTCTCTGGGGCCCTGAAGTTTGAAGAGGCACCCACTGCAGGTTTTCCTGTCAGAGAGCTCCTCTAAGGCTCGGTGCCCATGATGCGCACCAAGGGTCCTAACTGAGCAGGGACCTATGAATCCTTGCTAACTGATTACAAGCAGTTGGCGCCGCCCTAGCGACGATCCTGCATGAACATGTGCAAGCTTCTTAGCTGCAAAGTCGCAGCTTGGGACTTAGAGGTCAGCGCAGTCCGAGGTGGAGGCGATGCCGGCAGCAGGGCCGTTGGTGAGCGCTGCCACCATGTCCGAAATGTCCTTAGCTGCTCCGTTCATACGACCGAAGAACTCAACCTTTCTGCTTTAGACGGTGTTGGAAAATCGTGAAAATCCAAAACACACCTACTCAGCTACCGAGTATCCGCTGTGCACAGGGCTTTCTGGTCGGCGCCCACCTGGCAGTCCGAAACGGCGAGGGCCGTGAACTGGGAGATCCAAGCAAAGGAGGAGATGATGTTCATGATGCCAACAGCGCAGGACTTCGGGTCCGCACAGGCGCTGCCCGCGGCACGAATCTGGAGGATGACTCGGACGATGTAGGAAGCGGAGTTAGTCACATCCACGGCGCACTGCACGATGTCGTAATCACGGTTGCGCTGCTGGTCCTTATGGCCCTTGATTTTCAAGGCCTTGTCGACCGCCGGCGAGGCTCCCGCAGGGACGAACTCCTTCCAGGGAGGGGAGATCGTCTCCGTGCGCGTGAGGATCTGGAGGGCGTTCTTGCCGAAGTTGCAATCCGCCCTGGCAGCGGCGCCGACGGTGGCGATCTCGCCGAAGTTGGCCATGAGCGCAGTGAAGTCGCCAGCACACAGCGCACCGTTGTTGACAGCCTGGCCACAGGCGTTCGCCGCAAAGGACAGGTACGAGGCGATCCAGCTGATGGACGTGATGAAGCCTGCAACGCTGGCAGCGCATCCAACCGGCGAGTTGTTCGGGCACTCAAGACCATCGTAGTCAATGGCCTTATAGAGGAACACCACAGCCTGACCAAGGTAGGCGGCAGCCTGAACGGTGTCAATGACGCATTCCGTGCGGATCCTTGCTTCCCAGATAACCAAGCAAGTAAGGTTGAGCTTTCAGAACCATACCGAACTTTAACAATCTTAGCTTCGTGCATGCCCCCACCCAGACCGCCCTAAGCATGCACTCGGACACTCCCTTTCTTTTGTATCTGCTGAGACGGCGGTCCTCCCTCGGCCTTCGTCGAGCCGCCGTGAATGCCAGTCTCTGGCTCAAAACTGTTTGCCCTCTGGCTCCCCTATCGCGACCCCAGCCCACCAAATCACCTGTACTCGACAGGGGGATCTTCAGCAGGGGGGGCGGGTCGCGAGGGGAGTTGGCTTTTAAGGTGCGGGGTGGGGCCCAAAGCCCCCCTCAGCGGGTCGTCCCGTGAGCGATCCTCCGATCGACTTGGCACCTGAGCATCAGGAGCAGAGGCGCTACGACGTGCCTGCCTGTCCACAGAGAGCCGTCGGGTGAGGAGAGTGCGAAAGACAGCTCCAAAAATGTGACTCCCGGTGGCGGGCTTGAGCCCAAGCTCTCGCTTTGCCTCCTTCCCGTCCGGAGGGGGAGTGCCCGATCCTCTGCCCCATTCTCCTCTCCGGTTGAGAGGGGGGGCTCAGTTGTCCGGCACCCTCCCCTTCTTGGGGCAATTGACAGTCAAATAAGTGCATTTGCGCGCACACCCCGAGGCCGATAAGGGCTCCCTGTCTGGAGCATCCCTCTTCAGCCCCTTCCCGCCTCCTTGCCTCCGTCCTCCTTCCGTGGCGGAGTAGCTGCGCCTCCTCTTCCTGTATCCCCCGTCAAGGCCCAAATTGGGGGCACCGATTCCCGGTCCGGTCGGTGCCCTGCCCTGTTCCCCCGATCAGCTTCTTCGCCGAAGTGCTCGGCTCGGCACCGATCCTCCGCGGTAACCAGGAGGTGCCAAGTGTAGGCGTACCTCCTCGCCAGGTCCCGACGGCACGGAAGGTCCCGGTCCGGTTGCAGCACGTGGTTGAGGAACTTCAAGGACCTGGAGAACCGAGACTGGAAGTTGACGAAAGGCCGAAGTCGGCGTACGGAGCCACAACCCCAGGTCAATGACTCGGACCTTCATCGCGGAGATTTGGTCCGGCGTCGGTTCGGCTTCCGGTTTGACAGGGCTTCTCCAGGTTCTTGTAGAAATCGTCCACGTCCGCCTGGTCTAGCTTGGGAACCTCGCCGTCATCACCCTGATCGAGCACCGTGCTCATCTTGACCTTCCACGCTCCAGGGCTATCTCCGGCCCCTCCTCCAGTCAGGGAGAGGGAAATGCCGCGGCAGCTCCCCCAGTCCCCGCACCCGCGGCCGCGAGGGGGTTGTAGGGGTCGACGTCCGGGAGGCCTAAAGTAAGCCGAGCAACCCTGCACATTAACCCACGTTGCCTCGAGGATCGACAGATCCCGGCTGGCAGCGGGATCAGTGGCAGTCGGGGCAGGCACACGCGCGGCTCGGATGGAGCGACCATACAGCTCCAAAAATATCACTCACAATGGCCACGGGAGTTGCTGTAATCCCTAACCGCACTGCCGCACGATTGTCATTTCTTACACGCGTGCAGTGCACAAAAACTCCAAGCCGGAAGTTCTAAAACCCTTAACCCAAATAGTGTGGATTCAAGGTGCCAGGGCAGCTCCTCTGGCTGGGAGTCATAGAAGAGATCCTGCAAGTTGCGCATCGGCTTGTCCTGCTTCAAGCTCTGGGCCTTGCCAAGGTGGATTTCAGGAACACAGACCCTAAAGGCATCTAAAGGCCCCGAACCCTAAACCCTAAACACCAAGACCCCCTGCGCCTTGCGAATGACCTTGTCAATGCCGGGCAGCTCCTCCCATGTCTGAGCCTCTTGAATTGTATTCAAGGACCTCGAGGAAAACAATGCGCCATTGGAGTGGGCCGCCTTCGCTGCCACCCCTGCCACCCCAAGCAGCGCCAGGCCAGCTCCGACCATGTACCACTTGCGGGAAGTGCGGGCCTCTGGCTGGGCCTGCTTGTGACCCAGGCCCTTGTAGTCCACGGCGGCATCGCGGGAAGTCGGGGACGCCATGGCGATCAAGGGAGGTCTGCGGGTATCTGCGGAGAGCAAGTCCAAATGTGGAGGCTTCGAGCCATGGCCGTTTTCGGATGACAACCACGGTTTCAACACAAGGCAAGGGAAGGGAAGGGGAGGGGAAGGAAGGGAAGGCGATACTGTGGGTCTTTTGATACCTCAGTGCTGCTAGACACATCACACGGGGGCCATGCTGGAATGCAAACCGTGAAAAGATGGCAGAGTGAGGCAACAATCCGGCAAGGATGTGGCCTGCCACATGGTTGAAGTCATCCTGTCCTGGCGATGAGAGTTCCGAGGACTGGTTGAGACTAGCTGCTTGCATCCGAGGCTCCTTTGCGATCCGGTCCGACAGATCGGAGTCTGGCAGCTAGGACCAAAGGAACCAAAGGAAAGCCCTGGTGAACGTTTCCTCAAGTGTGCCACGTGGACAATAAGACGTTACAGCAATTGCCGACATGAGTTGACTGCCGCGCAGCGCAGGTTTGAGCCCCCAAAGGCACCGAAAAAAAAGCAGACCTGCAAAACTACCCCTAGACATCTCGCTCCGAAGCTGCCGTGCCATGTCTTGCCACTGTGAGCTTCTGCCAGAGAACCGTCCATCCTTTTACCTGCCCTGCAGCCAACATGTATAGGTTGCTCTGAAGTTGTTCGATGGCGACCCACACTGACCCACGGAACCTCCACCTCAATCAGCCTATAACTCTTCTGGGGGTCGCCTGTTGAAACAACTTGCTCTCTTTGTCATCTCTCAAGTCTCTTTGAGACGTCGGGGGTGCTAAATGACTGCAGGTTCCGCAAGGGGACACCACGCCGCGATTCCTGAGATTTCGGAGGGGTAGATGGCGGGTGCCCTTGGCCTGCTTGCGGGGTCTCCGAACCTTGCGGACTTCCTACAGGCTGGGGCGCCTGTGCGGCAGCGCCATCTTTGAACAAGCTGCCAGTTTTTGGCAGCGGCTTCACAGCGGCGGGGGGATTCTCCAGGTTACACTCTGCCGCCTTGCTGAGGGTCTGGGAGAGCTTGGCTTACAGATGTGGAGGGGCCCAGAAAGCCTCTGCACCACAACAGCTTCAGCGACTTCAGCCTGGGGTGGCATTGGAGCGACCTCGAAGAAGTCTCAAGCGGCCGTGCCCTCTTCCCCAAAAAGCCCTCGCGTGAAAGCCTTCCAGTGCGGCACCTACCTACAACTCTCCTGCAAGCGGCAAAGGCGTCGCCTTTGCCATCTTCTGAGGTTCCGGCCCTCCTTGATTGCTGGGAGGGAGCTCACCGCCTCTCCAGCAAACACAGCGGTGTTGCACTGTGATCTGAGGTGCGCATGCTCTTGGGGATCGTAGATGCCCTGGGGAAATGAACAACGAGCTTCAGAGTCAACCAAAACCGATGCTGTCGATTGGACCCTTTCTCATTGCAATCCTCTCCGCAACGGCTCTTGATGATTTTGCAAAACAAAGCTTTAGTATTTATTCGGTGGGCTTGTGGGGCTGTGGTACTGAGGTACCGCCTTTCCCGCAGCCCAACCCAACACACCCGAACTATCCTGCCATCAATGGTTCGATGAGCCGACACCAGTCTTGGGATCTGGTGTTCAGTACAGGTCGCTGCTACGCCTGCAATGCGATGTTTCTGGAGCCCTCGATTCTCCGCAGGACCCACCTGCTCGATCAGGGCGAGGTCCACCTTCGGACGGTCAGAGAGGGCCTGGCTCCTGGAGATCCGGGAAGTCGTCAGGCACGGATCTCCAAGGCTTTTGTTGGATCCCAAGAAGACCTTCGATGGGCACCCCTCACTGTGACAGACCTGAAGAAAAGACAACAAGGAAACAAGAAGTCCGGTTCGGCTCGAACGCGCCCTGGCAAGGACGAAGGAAAGATGGCTGATGGAGCATGCGACGATTTGCATGTTTGTCTCTGAGCATTGGGTTCACCTGTCGACTGTAATCTGCTTAGTCTTAGGCATCATGGTGCATCATGCCGATAGGGATAGGGATCTGATGGGGAGGCTGAACTACACAGGCGCCATTTAAGGCTGGGCTGATTCCTGCAAGCACTGCCGCCAAAGTCTTTCATGCTCAGTCTAGAATGCTCCAAACGGACAAGTCGGCCACCATAAATTGTACACCTTCTGATGCAGAACAAACGTTGGAGCTCCGCTAGAGATGTCTTGAGTATATTCCTACGACATCTACAACATCGAAACACCCCAGGGACCGGGGCGGACGATGTCTCCGAACTTCTGAAACCTTCTGGACATGGCGAAAAACCCAGCGGGCACTCCAAACACGAAAGCCGAGGACCAAACGCGTGTCGACGGTGCACTGACGGCCCTCGGAGATCCGTCCTGGCACCAAAAGTCTGTGAGCTTAGCGCTTTGGCTCAGGGTGGACGACTCGCAGCCGATTCAGCCGTACACTTGTACGTATGCATGTATGTAAGTATTCAGGTACACACGTCGCGTGTAGCACGTATACATGCCTACACGTTCGTGCCCATGTATGAAAGTGTGCAAGTATGTATGCATGCATGCATGCGTGCGTGCATGCAAGCATCTATGCATGTACGTATGCATGTGTGTATATATATATATATATATATATGCTCATGTGTACGACATATATGCATGTATGTGCGTATGTATGTATGCATACATGCATGGCTGGCTGGTTGGCTGGATGGATGGATGGATTTCCAGATACATGTACAGAACCCTATACATGTTTGTGCGATTATTCGCATGTGCACATGTACATGTGTATATATATGTATATATACACGTGTACAGGTATATACATACACATACATATACATATACATATACATATACATATACACACATACACCAAAATACAGACAGACAGACAGACAGACAGACAGACCGACGGACGGACGGACGGACAGACAGACAGACAGACAGACAGACAGACGAACAGACAGACAGACACACACACACACACATGTATGTATGTATATCTGTACATATGTATGCATGTACGTATGTATGTATGCATGTGTGTATATGTATATGTATATGTAGATACAAAACAATTCCGATTCATCTATCTATCTACTTATTCATGCGTGGGGTCTGGAGCTTCCTTCAATGCTTTTCTGTCTCTCTGTACCTGGTGATTCCCCCTCAGTTTCAGTACATCTGCTGAACAGCTGGCGGACACCTGGAGACAGGTAGAGGTGTCGTCACACAATGTCATAGGGCAGCTCTTGACGTTGCAGTCGCACCGTCGTGCAATCGCACATCCTCAGGCATTTTGTGATCAAATGAACTCATTGAAGCGGATTTGCTAGTCTCGTCGTCTTTTGGTTGTCTGCATCTATATGCTTGGTTGTGCACCTGGCTTGTCGTTTGCGCACACAAGCGGAGGGATCTTGCAACGGCGAACTGTGTCAGACCGTTTTGACCGGAGCATTCGGCCTGGAATCTCGAGGAGGAGAGCGAGATAGCAGTTTTACTTACGGCCCACATGGACCGTAGAAGGGGGCCACACCCGACCGGTCCAGCTCGCGTCACGGTTGCAACTGTCCCGGCCGAGTGGACGCCGACGTTCGCGGCTTGGCACGACACAGGTGTAGGGTGTCATCCAGAACAGTATGGAACTTGTATGTGACAAGGCGCAGAGTAAGAGGAAGCGCTTGCGAGCATGGAGCAGTCCTTGTCGTCTCTGAAGGTAATCTAAAGAGACGTCTCTTTGCTGCACAGTCGCATCTGCTGCAGCAGTGCTTCTTTCGACGATCCCCCCAGCGCCAATCGCGGGATTGGCATGCTTTGTTTGCATTGCCTGCTGTCACACATGTTCGTCATCTCTCGCGTCAGCGGACATACACGGTCTTCTTGTGCTTATGCTTACACTACTGCAATGGTGCATTGGGTTTTCCTTCCATGACTGATCCGTCCTCGTTTTTAACTATCTGCCAATTCGTGGATTCGTCTGGGTACCCATTTATCTTGCTGCACAGGCTTTTCTTGTTCTTTGATCTCCTTACCCGTTTTCCTGCTCCTCCATGGCAGGCTTGTGCACACTGTCACTGCTTGTTCGCTCACAAGTTTCGAGGCCATGCAGCGTCGAAGATCCCCCATGACAACAGTCCCAAACAAAAAGTGCCCTCCCCGTTAACACGTGCAAACCCCAAAAAGACCCCTCCGGCGGCCGTGCCTGCAAGCGACTTAGGACTTTCAACATAAAGAAACAAAACCACAGACTCTGCACACTCTGCCCTTGGACGCCTTCCGACGCGGAGTGTCGTGCGTCTCCAGGACCGGCGAGCCGAGCGACAGTAACACCTTGAGCTAATCCATGCGACTAGCATGATTCCCTGTTCGGACTTTGTTTGAAGCCATGTTCCAACTGCGAACTGCAACTTTTCAAAACGACTAAACATAGTTGTCGGCAACAGTAGTACCGGTACCGGCATGCAAAGCCGATTGCATCGTCTCGCGGAGCTTCTCAAGTCTCAGCGAAAGTACATCTGACAATCGGCGCATGCAGAGACTCCCTTTGGAAAGAACCGGTGTCGCACAGTCGCGTCAGAGCTTTGGACAGAGGAGAAAGACGCATCAGACTCCGGAGCACTTTTGCGATCTCCCACGTAGAAATACCGGCAAAGGACAACGCATGACAAAGCGACGATGAGTTAACTGTATCTGCGGATCCTATGGCGTGCTGAGATAACAGCGCTGGAGCCGGCAGTGCTCATCCGGAAGGCGGAGCCCTGGCTAAACAGGCGATTGAGATGGGCAGTGGCAATACAGTAGTCGTGCAAGTACCAGTACAGGTACAGGTGCACGCACTAGTACAAATACTAGTACTAGTACCATACCAGTCTAAGTACTAGTACGAGTAGCAGTACTAGTACGAGTAATAGTAGTACGAGTACGAGTTCTAGTACTTGCACCGGTACTAGTATTAGTAGTAGTCGTCGTGGTCGTCGTCGTGTCTGGTGATAGTGTTCGTGGTCGTGGTCGTGGTCGTGGTCGTGGTCGTAGTAGTAGTAGTAGTAGTAGAAGTAGAGCCGCCACGGCTCAGACGCTCGGAAAGTTTAGCGTAGGCTTTCGAACAGGCTCTGGGCTCCAACCCTTCGTTTCTAGAGGTTCCACCCAGGCCTCTCTCCGAACGACTTAGGGTTGGTCCCGAACACTGAGCCATGTGCCTTGCGATCACTGCATTTGTCTGAGCCGCCAGGTCCCATGCCAGCTTGCCCGGCACCCAGAAGTCCCTCAGCAGGGCTCGGGATTCTCACCGACGCATCTGCAAACGAACGAGCATGCAACATGATACCAACCGGCAACGAATACCAGCAGTGGCGGTAATGGCGAGTGACGGCCTTGGCGGTGGCTAGGGGAAGCAATGACGTCCGATGGGGACAGCACGTCGGCCCGAACAAGAAAGAGTAAACCAAGGAACAAAACGAAAAAATGCCAATGGCAAGTGCAACAGTATCGCAAAAACGACACAGTGCTAGAGTAGGCCGGGCCCAAGACGGAGCCGAATTGGCCGCCTGGACGGTGCAGGCTTCAAGGGGTTGCGGTGGGTGTTAATTGTAAGCTCGTCGTAACAAGGTGAGAAACTATGCATGGCCAAAACTGTGACGGCGTGCTTGCTGCTGCTTGCAGGTCCATTCGCATTATGTTAGACTTGCTGTTGCGATTGTGTCATACTGGTGTCGGGTCTTTCTGCATGCTCCACATGCGCAAGACGGTCAAGACCTCTCTGGGGCCCTGAAGTCTGAAGAGGCACCCACTGCAGGTTTTCCTGTCAGAGAGCTCCTCTAAGGCTCGGTGCCCATGATGCGCACCAAGGGTCCTAACTGAGCAGGGACCTATGAATCCTTGCTAACTGATTACATGCAGTTGGCGCCGCCCTAGCGACGATCCTGCATGAACATGTGCAAGCTTCTTAGCTGCAAAGTCGCAGCTTGGGACTTAGAGGTCAGCGCAGTCCGAGGTGGAGGCGATGCCGGCAGCAGGGCCGTTGGTGAGCGCTGCCACCATGTCCGAAATGTCCTTAGCTGCTCCGTTCATACGACCGAAGAACTCAACCTTTCTGCTTTAGACGGTGTTGGAAAATCGTGAAAATCCAAAACACACCTACTCAGCTACCGAGTATCCGCTGTGCACAGGGCTTTCTGGTCGGCGCCCACCTGGCAGTCCGAAACGGCGAGGGCCGTGAACTGGGAGATCCAAGCAAAGGAGGAGATGATGTTCATGATGCCAACAGCGCAGGACTTCGGGTCCGCACAGGCGCTGCCCGCGGCACGAATCTGGAGGATGACTCGGACGATGTAGGAAGCGGAGTTAGTCACATCCACGGCGCACTGCACGATGTCGTAATCACGGTTGCGCTGCTGGTCCTTATGGCCCTTGATCTTCAAGGCCTTGTCGACCGCCGGCGAGGCTCCCGCAGGGACGAACTCCTTCCAGGGAGGGGAGATCGTCTCCGTGCGCGTGAGGATCTGGAGGGCGTTCTTGCCGAAGTTGCAATCCGCCCTGGCAGCGGCGCCGACGGTGGCGATCTCGCCGAAGTTGGCCATGAGCGCAGTGAAGTCGCCAGCACACAGCGCACCGTTGTTGACAGCCTGGCCACAGGCGTTCGCCGCAAAGGACAGGTACGAGGCGATCCAGCTGATGGACGTGATGAAGCCTGCAACGCTGGCAGCGCATCCAACCGGCGAGTTGTTCGGGCACTCAAGACCATCGTAATCAATGGCCTTATAGAGGAACACCACAGCCTGACCAAGGTAGGCGGCAGCCTGAACGGTGTCAATGACGCATTCCGTGCGGATCCTTGCTTCCCAGATAACCTAGCAAGTAAGGTTTAGATTTCAGAACCATACCGAACTTTAACAATCTTAGCTTCGTGCATGCCCCCACCCAGACCGCCCTAAGCATGCAATCGGACAGTCCCTTTCTTTTGTAGCTGCTGAGACGGCGGTCCTCCCTCGGCCTTCGTCGAGCCGCCGTGAATGAGTCCGTGAATGCCAGTCTCTGGCTCAAAACTGTTTGCCCTCTGGCTCCCCTATCGCGACCCCAGCCCACCAAATCACCTGTACTCGACAGGGGGATCTTCAGCAGGGGGGGCGGGTCGCGAGGGGAGTTGGCTTTTAAGGTGCGGGGTGGGGCCCAAAGCCCCCGTCAGCGGGTCGTCCCGTCAGCGACCTCCGATCGACTTGGCACCTGAGCATCAGGAGCAGAGGCGCTACGACGTGCCTGCCTGTCCACAGAGAGCCGTCGGGCGAGGAGGGTGCGAAAAACAGCTCCAAAAATGTGACTCCCGGTGGCGGGCTTGAGCCCACAATGGCCACGGGAGTTGCTGTAATCCCTAACCTCCAAGCACTGTTGCACGATTGTTATTTCGACACGTGTGTAGTACACAACAATCTTAACTTCGTGCATGCCCCCACCCAGACCCCCCTAGGCATGCACTCGGACACTCCCTTTCTTTTGTTGCTGAGACCGCGGTCCTCCCGCTGGTCAGCCAGCCTTAAACGAGTGGACCCTGCCCTTTCATGTCGTGTGCCTGTGCTTCCTGACGTCTCCGCACCTTAACACCGTATCGACGATCCAGGGCGCCTTGTCAGACCGGTGGCTTTCTTGAACGGCCCCTGTAGGCTGGTCCAGCACGACGAAGTCCACGGCCTGTTGCTTCAGGATTTTCCTGAAAGCCTTGAGCTTCCACATCAGCGAGCCCTCGGGGCCGAAAACCCCAGTCCCAGCTCCATCTGCTGCTCCACGATCGCCACGCACCGTTCCCAGCACGTCAGCGTTCTGCTCCTCTTCCGTGTTGCCCTGCAGGCCATGTGCACCCAATCCACCGGGTTCTCTCTCAAGTACTGCAGCAACTGGACGTACTCGTCGTCGTCGCTCAGGTCCTGCTTCTATCCCCGACGGAGGGATCCAACACACAAACCCGGTCGCCCCCAGCTCCAGGAACCCAGCTCTCGCTTTGCCTCCTTCCCGTCCGGAGGGGGGGTGCCCGATCCTCTGCCCCATTCTCCTCTCCGGTTGAGAGGGGGGGCTCAGTTGTCCGGCACCCTCCCCTTCTTGGGGCAATTGACAGTCAAATAAGTGCATTTGCGCGGATCGAGCACCGTGCTCATCTTGACCTTCCACGCTCCAGAGCTATCTCCGGCCCCTCCTCCAGTCAGGGGAGGAGAGGGAAATGCCGCGGCAGCTCCCCCAGTCCCCGCACCCGCGGCCGCGAGGGGGTTGTAGGGGTCGACGTCCGGGAAGCCTAAAGTAAGCCGAGCAACCCTGCACATTAACCCAAGTTGCCTCGAGGATCGACAGATCCCGGCTGGCAGCGGGATCAGTGGCAGTCGGGGCAGGCACACGCGCGGCTCGGATGGAGCGACCATACAGCTCCAAAAACATCACTCACAATGGCCACGGGAGTTGCTGTAATCCCTAACTTCTAAGCACTGCCGCACGATTGTCATTTCTTACACGCGTGCAGTGCACAAAAACTCCAAGCCGGAAGTTCTAAAACCCTTAACCCAAATAGTGTGGATTCAAGGTGCCAGGGCAGCTCCTCTGGCTGGGAGTCATAGAAGAGATCCTGCAAGTTGCGCATCGGCTTGTCCTGCTTCAAGCTCTGGGCCTTGCCAAGGTGGATTTCAGGAACACAGACCCTAAAGGCATCTAAAGGCCCCGAACCCTAAACCCTAAACACCAAGACCCCCTGCACCTTGCGAATGACCTTGTCAATGCCGGGCAGCTCCTCCCATGTCTGAGCCTCTTGAATTGTATTCAAGGACCTCGAGGAAAACAATGCGCCATTGGAGTGGGCCGCCTTCGCTGCCACCCCTGCCACCCCAAGCAGCGCCAGGCCAGCTCCGACCATGTACCACTTGCGGGAAGTGCGGGCCTCTGGCTGGGCCTGCTTGTGACCCAGGCCCTTGTAGTCCACGGCGGCATCGCGGGAAGTCGGGGACGCCATGGCGATCAAGGGAGGTCTGCGGGTATCTGCGGAGAGCAAGTCCAAATGTGGAGGCTTCGAGCCATGGCCGTTTTCGGATGACAACCACGGTTTCAACACAAGGCAAGGGAAGGGAAGGGGAGGGGAAGGACGGGAAGGCGATACTGTGGGTCTTTTGATACCTCAGTGCTGCTAGACACATCACACGGTGGCCATGCTGGCATGCAAACCGTGAAAAGATGGCAGAGTGAGGCAACAATCCGGCAAGGATGTGGCCTGCCACATGGTTGAAGTCATCCTGTCCTGGCGATGAGAGTTCCGAGGACTGGTTGGGACTAGCTGCTTGCATCCGAGGCTCCTTTGCGATCCGGTCCGACAGATCGAAGTCTGGCAGCTAGGACCAAAGGAACCAAAGGAAAGCCCTGGTGAACGTTTCCTCAAGTGTGCCACGTGGACTAAGACGTTACAGCAATTGCCGACATGAGTTGACTGCCGCACAGCGCAGGTTTGAGCCCCCAAAGGCACCGAAAAAAAAACAGACCTGCAAAACTACCTCTAGACATCTCGCTCCGAAGCTGCCGTGCCATGTCTTGCCACTGTGAGCTTCTGCCAGAGAACCGTCCATCCTTTTACCTGCCCTGCAGCCAACATGTATAGGTTGCTCTGAAGTTGTTCGATGGCGACCCACACTGACCCACGGAACCTCGACCTCAATCAGCCTATAACTCTTCTGGGGGTCGCCTGTTGAAACAACTTGCTCTCTTTGTCATCTCTCAAGTCTCTTTGAGACGTCGGGGGTGCTAAATGACTGCAGGTTCCGCAAGGGGACACCACGCCGCGATTCCTGAGATTTCGGAGGGGTAGATGGCGGGTGCCCTTGGCCTGCTTGCGGGGTCTCCGAACCTTGCGGACTTCCTACAGGCTGGGGCGCCTGTGCGGCAGCGCCATCTTTGAACAAGCTGCCAGTTTTTGGCAGCGGCTTCACAGCGGCGGGGGGATTCTCCAGGTTACACTCTGCCGCCTTGCTGAGGGTCTGGGAGAGCTTGGCTTACAGATGTGGAGGGGCCCAGAAAGCCTCTGCACCACAACAGCTTCAGCGACTTCAGCCTGGGGTGGCATTGGAGCGACCTCGAAGAAGTCTCAAGCGGCCGTGCCCTCTTCCCCAAAAAGCCCTCGCGTGAAAGCCTTCCAGTGCGGCACCTACCTACAACTCTCCTGCAAGCGGCAAAGGCGTCGCCTTTGCCATCTTCTGAGGTTCCGGCCCTCCTTGATTGCTGGGAGGGAGCTCACCGCCTCTCCAGCAAACACAGCGGTGTTGCACTGTGATCTGAGGTGCGCATGCTCTTGGGGATCGTAGATGCCCTGGGGAAATGAACAACGAGCTTCAGAGTCAACCAAAACCGATGCTGTCGATTGGACCCTTTCTCATTGCAATCCTCTCCGCAACGGCTCTTGATGATTTTGCAAAACAAAGCTTTAGTATTTATTCGGTGGGCTTGTGGGGCTGTGGTACTGAGGTACCGCCTTTCCCGCAGCCCAACCCAACACACCCGAACTATCCTGCCATCAATGGTTCGATGAGCCGACACCAGTCTTGGGATCTGGTGTTCAGTACAGGTCGCTGCTACGCCTGCAATGCGATGTTTCTGGAGCCCTCGATTCTCCGCAGGACCCACCTGCTCGATCAGGGCGAGGTCCACCTTCGGACGGTCAGAGAGGGCCTGGCTCCTGGAGATCCGGGAAGTCGTCAGGCACGGATCTCCAAGGCTTTTGTTGGATCCCAAGAAGACCTTCGATAGGCACCCCTCACTGTGACAGACCTGAAGAAAAGACAACAAGGAAACAAGAAGTCCGGTTCGGCTCGAACGCGCCCTGGCAAGGACGAAGGAAAGATGGCTGATGGAGCATGCGACGATTTGCATGTTTGTCTCTGAGCATTGGGTTCACCTGTCGACTGTAATCTGCTTAGTCTTAGGCATCATGGTGCATCATGCCGATAGGGATAGGGATCTGATGGGGAGGCTCAACTACACAGGCGCCATTTAAGGCTGGGCTGATTCCTGCAAGCACTGCCGCCAAAGTCTTTCATGCTCAGTCTAGAATGCTCCAAACGGACAAGTCGGCCACCATAAATTGTACACCTTCTGATGCAGAACAAACGTTGGAGCTCCGCTAGAGATGTCTTGAGTATATTCCTACGACATCTACAACATCGAAACACCCCAGGGACCGGGGCGGACGATGTCTCCGAACTTCTGAAACCTTCTGGACATGGCGAAAAACCCAGCGGGCACTCCAAACACGAAAGCCGAGGACCAAACGCGTGTCGACGGTGCACTGACGGCCCTCGGAGATCCGTCCTGGCACCAAAAGTCTGTGAGCTTAGCGCTTTGGCTCAGGGTGGACGACTCGCAGCCGATTCAGCCGTACACTTGTACGTATGCATGTATGTAAGTATTCAGGTACACACGTCGCGTGTAGCACGTATACATGCCTACACGTTCGTGCCCATGTATGAAAGTGTGCAAGTATGTATGCATGCATGCATGCATGCATGCATGCGTGCATGCAAGCATCTATGCATGTACGTATGCATGTGTGTATATATATATATATATATGCATGTATGTAAGTATTCAGGTACACACGTCGCGTGTAGCACGTATACATGCCTACACGTTCGTGCCCATGTATGAAAGTGTGCAAGTATGTATGCATGCATGCATGCGTGCGTGCATGCAAGCATCTATGCATGTACGTATGCATGTGTGTATATATATATATGCTCATGTGTACGACATATATGCATGTATGTGCGTATGTATGTATGCATACATGCATGGCTGGCTGGTTGGCTGGATGGATGGATGGATTTCCAGATACATGTACAGAACCCTATACATGTTTGTGCGATTATTCGCATGTGCACATGTACATGTGTATATATATGTATATATACACGTGTACAGGTATATACATACACATACATATACATATACATATACATATACATATACACACATACACCAAAATACAGACAGACAGACAGACAGACAGACAGACCGACGGACGGACGGACGGACAGACAGACAGACAGACAGACAGACAGACGAACAGACAGACAGACACACACACACACACATGTATGTATGTATATCTGTACATATGTATGCATGTACGTATGTATGTATGCATGTGTGTATATGTATATGTATATGTAGATACAAAACAATTCCGATTCATCTATCTATCTACTTATTCATGCGTGGGGTCTGGAGCTTCCTTCAATGCTTTTCTGTCTCTCTGTACCTGGTGATTCCCCCTCAGTTTCAGTACATCTGCTGAACAGCTGGCGGACACCTGGAGACAGGTAGAGGTGTCGTCACACAATGTCATAGGGCAGCTCTTGACGTTGCAGTCGCACCGTCGTGCAATCGCACATCCTCAGGCATTTTGTGATCAAATGAACTCATTGAAGCGGATTTGCTAGTCTCGTCGTCTTTTGGTTGTCTGCATCTATATGCTTGGTTGTGCACCTGGCTTGTCGTTTGCGCACACAAGCGGAGGGATCTTGCAACGGCGAACTGTGTCAGACCGTTTTGACCGGAGCATTCGGCCTGGAATCTCGAGGAGGAGAGCGAGATAGCAGTTTTACTTACGGCCCACATGGACCGTAGAAGGGGGCCACACCCGACCGGTCCAGCTCGCGTCACGGTTGCAACTGTCCCGGCCGAGTGGACGCCGACGTTCGCGGCTTGGCACGACACAGGTGTAGGGCTTCGTGTCATCCAGAACAGTATGGAACTTGTATGTGACAAGGCGCAGAGTAAGAGGAAGCGCTTGCGAGCATGGAGCAGTCCTTGTCGTCTCTGAAGGTAATCTAAAGAGACGTCTTTGCTGCACAGTCGCATCTGCTGCAGCAGTGCTTCTTTCGACGATCCCCCCAGCGCCAATCGCGGGATTGGCATGCTTTGTTTGCATTGCCTGCTGTCACACATGTTCGTCATCTCTCGCGTCAGCGGACATACACGGTCTTCTTGTGCTTATGCTTACACTACTGCAATGGTGCATTGGGTTTTCCTTCCATGACTGATCCGTCCTCGTTTTTAACTATCTGCCAATTCGTGGATTCGTCTGGGTACCCATTTATCTTGCTGCACAGGCTTTTCTTGTTCTTTGATCTCCTTACCCGTTTTCCTGCTCCTCCATGGCAGGCTTGTGCACACTGTCACTGCTTGTTCGCTCACAAGTTTCGAGGCCATGCAGCGTCGAAGATCCCCCATGACAACAGTCCCAAACAAAAAGTGCCCTCCCCGTTAACACGTGCAAATCCCAAAAAGACCCCTCCGGCGGCCGTGCCTGCAAGCGACTTAGGACTTTCAACATAAAGAAACAAAACCACAGACTCTGCACACTCTGCCCTTGGACGCCTTCCGACGCGGAGTGTCGTGTGTCTCCAGGACCGGCGAGCCGAGCGACAGTAACACCTTGAGCTAATCCATGCGACTAGCATGATTCCCTGTTCGGACTTTGTTTGAAGCCATGTTCCAACTGCGAACTGCAACTTTTCAAAACGACTAAACATAGTTGTCGGCAACAGTAGTACCGGTACCGGCATGCAAAGCCGATTGCATCGTCTCGCGGAGCTTCTCAAGTCTCAGCGAAAGTACATCTGACAATCGGCGCATGCAGAGACTCCCTTTGGAAAGAACCGGTGTCGCACAGTCGCGTCAGAGCTTTGGACAGAGGAGAAAGACGCATCAGACTCCGGAGCACTTTTGCGATCTCCCACGTAGAAATACCGGCAAAGGACAACGCATGACAAAGCGACGATGAGTTAACTGTATCTGCGGATCCTATGGCGTGCTGAGATAACAGCGCTGGAGCCGGCAGTGCTCATCCGGAAGGCGGAGCCCTGGCTAAACAGGCGATTGAGATGGGCAGTGGCAATACAGTAGTCGTGCAAGTACCAGTACAGGTACAGGTGCACGCACTAGTACAAATACTAGTACTAGTACCATACCAGTCTAAGTACTAGTACGAGTAGCAGTACTAGTACGAGTAATAGTAGTACGAGTACGAGTTCTAGTACTTGCACCGGTACTAGTATTAGTAGTAGTCGTCGTGGTCGTCGTCGTGTCTGGTGATAGTATTCGTGGTCGTGGTCGTGGTCGTGGTCGTGGTCGTGGTCGTAGTAGTAGTAGTAGTAGTAGTAGTAGTAGTAGAAGTAGAGCCGCCACGGCTCAGACGCTCGGAAAGTTTAGCGTAGGCTTTCGAACAGGCTCTGGGCTCCAACCCTTCGTTTCTAGAGGTTCCAACCAGGCCTCTCTCCGAACGACTTAGGGTTGGTCCCGAACACTGAGCCATGTGCCTTGCGATCACTGCATTTGTCTGAGCCGCCAGGTCCCATGCCAGCTTGCCCGGCACCCAGAAGTCCCTCAGCAGGGCTCGGGATTCTCACCGACGCATCTGCAAACGAACGAGCATGCAACATGATACCAACCGGCAACGAATACCAGCAGTGGCGGTAATGGCGAGTGACGGCCTTGGCGGTGGCTAGGGGAAGCAATGACGTCCGATGGGGACAGCACGTCGGCCCGAACAAGAAAGAGTAAACCAAGGAACAAAACGAAAAAATGCCAATGGCAAGTGCAACAGTATCGCAAAAACGACACAGTGCTAGAGTAGGCCGGGCCCAAGACGGAGCCGAATTGGCCGCCTGGACGGTGCAGGCTTCAAGGGGTTGCGGTGGGTGTTAATTGTAAGCTCGTCGTAACAAGGTGAGAAACTATGCATGGCCAAAACTGTGACGGCGTGCTTGCTGCTGCTTGCAGGTCCATTCGCACTATGTTATACTTGCTGTTGCGATTGTGTCATACTGGTGTCGGGTCTTTCTGCATGCTCCACAATGCGCAAGACGGTCAAGACCTCTCTGGGGCCCTGAAGTCTGAAGAGGCACCCACTGCAGGTTTTCCTGTCAGAGAGCTCCTCTAAGGCTCGGTGCCCATGATGCGCACCAAGGGTCCTAACTGAGCAGGGACCTATGAATCCTTGCTAACTGATTACAAGCAGTTGGCGCCGCCCTAGCGACGATCCTGCATGAACATGTGCAAGCTTCTTAGCTGCAAAGTCGCAGCTTGGGACTTAGAGGTCAGCGCAGTCCGAGGTGGAGGCGATGCCGGCAGCAGGGCCGTTGGTGAGCGCTGCCACCATGTCCGAAATGTCCTTAGCTGCTCCGTTCATACGACCGAAGAACTCAACCTTTCTGCTTTAGACGGTGTTGGAAAATCGTGAAAATCCAAAACACACCTACTCAGCTACCGAGTATCCGCTGTGCACAGGGCTTTCTGGTCGGCGCCCACCTGGCAGTCCGAAACGGCGAGGGCCGTGAACTGGGAGATCCAAGCAAAGGAGGAGATGATGTTCATGATGCCAACAGCGCAGGACTTCGGGTCCGCACAGGCGCTGCCCGCGGCACGAATCTGGAGGATGACTCGGACGATGTAGGAAGCGGAGTTAGTCACATCCACGGCGCACTGCACGATGTCGTAATCACGGTTGCGCTGCTGGTCCTTATGGCCCTTGATCTTCAAGGCCTTGTCGACCGCCGGCGAGGCTCCCGCAGGGACGAACTCCTTCCAGGGAGGGGAGATCGTCTCCGTGCGCGTGAGGATCTGGAGGGCGTTCTTGCCGAAGTTGCAATCCGCCCTGGCAGCGGCGCCGACGGTGGCGATCTCGCCGAAGTTGGCCATGAGCGCAGTGAAGTCGCCAGCACACAGCGCACCGTTGTTGACAGCCTGGCCACAGGCGTTCGCCGCAAAGGACAGGTACGAGGCGATCCAGCTGATGGACGTGATGAAGCCTGCAACGCTGGCAGCGCATCCAACCGGCGAGTTGTTCGGGCACTCAAGACCATCGTAATCAATGGCCTTATGGAGGAACACCACAGCCTGACCAAGGTAGGCGGCAGCCTGAACGGTGTCAATGACGCATTCCGTGCGGATCCTTGCTTCCCAGATAACCTAGCAAGTAAGGTTTAGATTTCAGAACCATACCGAACTTTAACAATCTTAGCTTCGTGCATGCCCCCACCCAGACCGCCCTAAGCATGCAATCGGACAGTCCCTTTCTTTTGTAGCTGCTGAGACGGCGGTCCTCCCTCGGCCTTCGTCGAGCCGCCGTGAATGCCAGTCTCTGGCTCAAAACTGTTTGCCCTCTGGCTCCCCTATCGCGACCCCAGCCCACCAAATCACCTGTACTCGACAGGGGGATCTTCAGCAGGGGGGGCGGGTCGCGAGGGGAGTTGGCTTTTAAGGTGCGGGGTGGGGCCCAAAGCCCCCGTCAGCGGGTCGTCCCGTCAGCGACCTCCGATCGACTTGGCAACTGAGCATCAGGAGCAGAGGCGCTACGACGTGCCTGCCTGTCCACAGAGAGCCGTCGGGTGAGGAGGGTGCGAAAAACAGCTCCAAAAATGTGACTCCCGGTGGCGGGCTTGAGCCCACAATGGCCACGGGAGTTGCTGTAATCCCTAACCTCCAAGCACTGTTGCACGATTGTTATTTCGACACGTGTGTAGTACACAACAATCTTAACTTCGTGCATGCCCCCACCCAGACCCCCCTAGGCATGCACTCGGACACTCCCTTTCTTTTGTTGCTGAGACCGCGGTCCTCCCGCTGGTCAGCCAGCCTTAAACGAGTGGACCCTGCCCTTTCATGTCGTGTGCCTGTGCTTCCTGACGTCTCCGCACCTTAACACCGTATCGACGATCCAGGGCGCCTTGTCAGACCGGTGGCTTTCTTGAACGGCCCCTGTAGGCTGGTCCAGCACGACGAAGTCCACGGCCTGTTGCTTCAGGATTTTCCTGAAAGCCTTGAGCTTCCACATCAGCGAGCCCTCGGGGCCGAAAACCCCAGTCCCAGCTCCATCTGCTGCTCCACGATCGCCACGCACCGTTCCCAGCACGTCAGCGTTCTGCTCCTCTTCCGTGTTGCCCTGCAGGCCATGTGCACCCAATCCACCGGGTTCTCTCTCAAGTACTGCAGCAACTGGACGTGCTCGTCGTCGTCGCTCAGGTCCTGCTTCTATCCCCGACGGAGGGATCCAACACACAAACCCGGTCGCCCCCAGCTCCAGGAACCCAGCTCTCGCTTTGCGTCCTTCCCGTCCGGAGGGGGGGTGCCCGATCCTCTGCCCCATTCTCCTCTCCGGTTGAGAGGGGGGGCTCAGTTGTCCGGCACCCTCCCCTTCTTGGGGCAATTGACAGTCAAATAAGTGCATTTGCGCGGATCGAGCACCGTGCTCATCTTGACCTTCCACGCTCCAGAGCTATCTCCGGCCCCTCCTCCAGTCAGGGGAGGAGAGGGAAATGCCGCGGCAGCTCCCCCAGTCCCCGCACCCGCGGCCGCGAGGGGGTTGTAGGGGTCGACGTCCGGGAAGCCTAAAGTAAGCCGAGCAACCCTGCACATTAACCCAAGTTGCCTCGAGGATCGACAGATCCCGGCTGGCAGCGGGATCAGTGGCAGTCGGGGCAGGCACACGCGCGGCTCGGATGGAGCGACCATACAGCTCCAAAAACATCACTCACAATGGCCACGGGAGTTGCTGTAATCCCTAACTTCTAAGCACTGCCGCACGATTGTCATTTCTTACACGCGTGCAGTGCACAAAAACTCCAAGCCGGAAGTTCTAAAACCCTTAACCCAAATAGTGTGGATTCAAGGTGCCAGGGCAGCTCCTCTGGCTGGGAGTCATAGAAGAGATCCTGCAAGTTGCGCATCGGCTTGTCCTGCTTCAAGCTCTGGGCCTTGCCAAGGTGGATTTCAGGAACACAGACCCTAAAGGCATCTAAAGGCCCCGAACCCTAAACCCTAAACACCAAGACCCCCTGCGCCTTGCGAATGACCTTGTCAATGCCGGGCAGCTCCTCCCATGTCTGAGCCTCTTGAATTGTATTCAAGGACCTCGAGGAAAACAATGCGCCATTGGAGTGGGCCGCCTTCGCTGCCACCCCTGCCACCCCAAGCAGCGCCAGGCCAGCTCCGACCATGTACCACTTGCGGGAAGTGCGGGCCTCTGGCTGGGCCTGCTTGTGACCCAGGCCCTTGTAGTCCACGGCGGCATCGCGGGAAGTCGGGGACGCCATGGCGATCAAGGGAGGTCTGCGGGTATCTGCGGAGAGCAAGTCCAAATGTGGAGGCTTCGAGCCATGGCCGTTTTCGGATGACAACCACGGTTTCAACACAAGGCAAGGGAAGGGGAGGGGAAGGACGGGAAGGCGATACTGTGGGTCTTTTGATACCTCAGTGCTGCTAGACACATCACACGGTGGCCATGCTGGCATGCAAACCGTGAAAAGATTGCAGAGTGAGGCAACAATCCGGCAAGGATGTGGCCTGCCACATGGTTGAAGTCATCCTGTCCTGGCGATGAGAGTTCCGAGGACTGGTTGGGACTAGCTGCTTGCATCCGAGGCTCCTTTGCGATCCGGTCCGACAGATCGAAGTCTGGCAGCTAGGACCAAAGGAACCAAAGGAAAGCCCTGGTGAACGTTTCCTCAAGTGTGCCTCTTAGTTACAGCAATTGCCGACATGAGTTGACTGCCGCACAGCGCAGGTTTGAGCCCCCAAAGGCACCGAAAAAAAAACAGACCTGCAAAACTACCTCTAGACATCTCGCTCCGAAGCTGCCGTGCCATGTCTTGCCACTGTGAGCTTCTGCCAGAGAACCGTCCATCCTTTTACCTGCCCTGCAGCCAACATGTATAGGTTGCTCTGAAGTTGTTCGATGGCGACCCACACTGACCCACGGAACCTCGACCTCAATCAGCCTATAACTCTTCTGGGGGTCGCCTGTTGAAACAACTTGCTCTCTTTGTCATCTCTCAAGTCTCTTTGAGACGTCGGGGGTGCTAAATGACTGCAGGTTCCGCAAGGGGACACCACGCCGCGATTCCTGAGATTTCGGAGGGGTAGATGGCGGGTGCCCTTGGCCTGCTTGCGGGGTCTCCGAACCTTGCGGACTTCCTACAGGCTGGGGCGCCTGTGCGGCAGCGCCATCTTTGAACAAGCTGCCAGTTTTTGGCAGCGGCTTCACAGCGGCGGGGGGATTCTCCAGGTTACACTCTGCCGCCTTGCTGAGGGTCTGGGAGAGCTTGGCTTACAGATGTGGAGGGGCCCAGAAAGCCTCTGCACCACAACAGCTTCAGCGACTTCAGCCTGGGGTGGCATTGGAGCGACCTCGAAGAAGTCTCAAGCGGCCGTGCCCTCTTCCCCAAAAAGCCCTCGCGTGAAAGCCTTCCAGTGCGGCACCTACCTACAACTCTCCTGCAAGCGGCAAAGGCGTCGCCTTTGCCATCTTCTGAGGTTCCGGCCCTCCTTGATTGCTGGGAGGGAGCTCACCGCCTCTCCAGCAAACACAGCGGTGTTGCACTGTGATCTGAGGTGCGCATGCTCTTGGGGATCGTAGATGCCCTGGGGAAATGAACAACGAGCTTCAGAGTCAACCAAAACCGATGCTGTCGATTGGACGCTTTCTAATTGCAATCCTCTCCGCAACGGCTCTTGACGATTTTGCAAAACAAAGCTTTAGTATTTATTCGGTTGGCTTGTGGGGCTGTGGTACTGACTGAGGTACCGCCTTTCCCGCAGCCCAACCCAACACACCCGAACTATCCTGCCATCAATGGTTCGATGAGCCGACACCAGTCTTGGGATCTGGTGTTCAGTACAGGTCGCTGCTACGCCTGCAATGCGATGTTTCTGGAGCCCTCGATTCTCCGCAGGACCCACCTGCTCGATCAGGGCGAGGTCCACCTTCGGACGGTCAGAGAGGGCCTGGCTCCTGGAGATCCGGGAAGTCGTCAGGCACGGATCTCCAAGGCTTTTGTTGGATCCCAAGAAGACCTTCGATAGGCACCCCTCACTGTGACAGACCTGAAGAAAAGACAACAAGGAAACAAGAAGTCCGGTTCGGCTCGAACGCGCCCTGGCAAGGACGAAGGAAAGATGGCTGATGGATGCATGCGACGATTTGCATGCTTGTCTCTGAGCATTGGGTTCACCCGTCGACTGTTCTCTGCTTAGTCTTAGGCATCATGGTGCATCGTGCCGATAGGGATAGGGATCTGATGGGGAGGCTCAACTACACAGGCGCCATTTAAGGCTGGGCTGATTCCTGCAAGCACTGCCGCCAAAGTCTTTCATGCTCAGTCTAGAATGCTCCAAACGGACAAGTCGGCCACCATACATTGTACACTTTTTGATGCAGAACAAACTTTCGAGCTCCACTAGAGATGTCTTGAGCATGTTCCTGCGACATCTACAACATCGAAACACCCCAGGGACCGGGGCGGACGATGTCTCCGAACTTCTGAAACCTTTTGGACATAGCGAACTAAACCCAACGGACACTCCAAACACGAAAGCCGAGGACCAAACGCGTGCCGACTGTGCACTGACGGCCCTCGGAGATCCGTCCTGGCACCAAAAGTCTGTGAGTTTAGGGTTTTGGCTCAGGTTGGACGACTCGCAGCCGATACAGCCGTACACTTGTACGTATGCATGTATGTACATATGCAGGTAGGCACATCGCATGTATGCACGTATGCATGCCCACACTTTCGTGCCCATGTATGAATGTGTGCAAGTATGTATGTATATATGTATGCATGCATGTGTGCATGCATGCATCCATGCATGTATGTATGCATATATGTGTGTCTATATCTATATATGCTCATTTGTACGACAGATATGCATGTGTGTGCATATGTATGTATGCATGCATGCATGCATGGCTGGCTGGATGGATGGATGGATTTCCAGATACATGTACAGAGCCCTTTTCATGTCTGTGCGATTAACCGCATGTACACATATGTATGTGTATATCTATCTATGTATATATATATATATATGGATGTATATATACGTGTACAGGTATATACATACATACACACACACACACACACACACATATATATATATACATACATACATGCATGCATATACACACATACACTAAAATACATACATACATACATACAGACAGACAGACAGACAGACAGACAGACGGACAGACAGACGAACGACGGACAGACGAACACACAGATACACACATGTATGTATATACGTATGTATGTATGCATGTGTGTATATGTATATGTATATGTAGACACATAACAATTCCGATTCATCTATCTATCTACTTATTCATGCGTGGGGTCTGGAGCTTCCTTCAATGCTTTTCTGTCTCTCAGTTTCAGTAAATGTGTTGAACAGCTGGCGGACACCTGGAGACAGATAGAGGTGTCACACAATGTCATGGGGCAGCTCTTGACGCTGGAGTCGCACAGTCGTGCAATCACACATCCTCAAGCATTTTGTGAAGAATGAAATCATTCAAGCGGATTCGCTAGTCTCGTCTTCTTTTGGTTGGCTGTCTGCATCTATATGCTTGATTGCGTGCCTGGCTTGTCGTTTGTGCACACAAGCGGAGCTATCTTGCAACGGCGAACTGTGTCACACCGTTGTTAGCTATGACCGGGGCATTCGGTCTGGAATCTCGAGGAGGAGAGCGAGATAGCAGTTTTACTTACGGCCCACATGGACCGTAGAAGCGGGCCACACCCGAATGGTCCAGCTCGTGTCACGGTTGCAACTGTCCCGGCCGAGTGGACGCCGACGTTCGCTCTCGGCACGACACAGGTATAGGGCTTCGTGTCATGCAGAACAGTATGGAACTTGTATGTGACACTGTGACAGGGCTCTCTAAATCCGACCAGAGCAATCCGTAGGCGAAGAGTAAGGGGAAGCGCTTGCGAGCATGGAGCAGTCCTTGTCGTCTCTGAAGTAGTCTCAAGAAAGGTCTCTTTGTTGCAGCGCTTCTTTCGATTATCCCCCCAGTGCCAATCGCGGGATTGGCATGCTTTGTTTGCATTGCCTACTGCCGCACGTCTTCGCCATCTCTCGCGTCAGCTGACATACGCGGTCCTCTTGTGGCTATGGTTACACTGCTGCGATGGTGCCTTGGTTCACATTCCATGACTGATCCGTTCTCGTCTGTAACTATCTACCAATTCGTGGATTCGTCTGGGTACCAATGCAGCATCGAAGATCCCCCATAACAACAGCCCCAAACAAAAAGTGCCCTCCCCGGTAATAAGTGAAAACCCGAAAAAGACCCCTCCGGCGGTTGAGCCTGCAATTAACTTAGGACTTTCAACATAAAGAAACGAAACCACTGTTGCCCGAGATGCCCGAGACTCTGCACACTGTGCCCTGGGACTCCTTCCGACGCGGAGTGTCGTGCGTCTCCAAGACCGACGAGCCGAGCGACAGCAACACCTTGAGCTACTCCATGCGACTAGCATGATTCCATATTCGGACTTTGCTTGACGCCATGTTCCAACTGCGAACTGCAACTTTTCAAAACGACGAAACATAGTTGTCGGCAACAATAGTACCGGTACCGTGATGCAAAGCCGAGTTCTCAAGTCTCAGCGAAAGTACATCTGACAATCGGCACATGCAGAGACTCCCTTCGGAAAAAACCGGTGTCGCACAGTCGTTTTAGAGCTTTGGACAGAGGAAAAAGACGCATCAGACTATCTCCCACGTAGATATACCGGCAAAGGACAACGCGACGATGAGTTAATTGTATCTGCGGTTGAAAAGATCCTATGGCGTGCTGAGATAACAGCGCTGGAGCCGGCAGTGCTCATCCGGAAGGCGGAGCCCTGGCTAGGCAGGCGATTGAGATGGGCAGTGGCAATTCAGTAGTTGTGCAAGTACCAGTACAGGTACAGGTGCACGTACCAGTACAAATACTACTACTAGTACTGTAGCAGTACCAGTACCAGTACCAGCAGTAGTACTCATAGGACCAGTAGTACTAGTACGAGCAGTACTACTAGTACGTGTAATAGTAGTACGAGTACGACTACGAGTACGACTACGAGTTCTAGTACTAGTACCGGTACTAGTATTAGTAGTTAGTGTTCGTGGTCGTGGTCGTGGTAGTGGCAGTAGTGCTAGTAGAAGTAGTAGTAGTAGTAGTAGTAGTAGTAGTAGTAGTAGTAGTCGTAGTAGTAGTAGTAGTAGCAGTAGTAGCAGGAGTAGTAGTAGCAGTAGTAGTAGTAGTCGT